AACAATACATACACAATGTAAATGTTTTAACCTATAACCACGCTATAACCCTTCACTGCTTTCTAAAAAATCAGTAACACTAAAATAAGCACAATGTAAATGTTTTGACCTATAACCACGCTATAACCCTTAAATTGATGTCTTGGTAAATTTCTGACATTTTGAGATAATTTATTAAAGCATGCAGGAGCATAATGAAGGCTGGAGTTCCAAGATCTTCCGAGGCGCAAATGAACAGGCTTTATATTCATTCTGTTTCTTGTTGCATAATTGTGTTGTTCATCATGCGTAGCATATAGTTTTAGGTTATCCTTCACAAATAAAAGACACTGGAGGATATAGCAACATGGAAGTGTCAGTATTCCCAGTCTTCTGTAGGCGTTTTTTGTATCTGCTTGATAACTTAAATTTGACAAAATTCTCAATGCTTTTCTTTGCAGTCCAAACAGTCTGTCAGCATGAGCTGAGTGACCCCAAACAAGTATTCCATAAGTAAGCACCGAGTGAATGAGAGCATAATAGGCAGCTACTAACACATCACTCTCCACACACTTAGCCAATCGCCGAAATGCATACATGCTCATACAAACCTTCCCTGCCACATAGTCTATGTGACATTCAAAACTCAGTTTTGTGTCAAATTTTATTCCCAGAAATCGGACACTGCAGAAATCTATCTTATATTTTGTTTTAAGAGAAAAAATAACTCTTTCTGTTTTAGTGTCATTCAGGCATAATCGGTTTGCCTGAAACCAATCACCAACATTTAGCAAATTCGATTCAAAATCAGTTTGAATTTCTTCAGGGAATTTCCGAGCACATAAGATAGTAGTGTCATCGGCAAACAAAATCATTATTCTGAAGTGTAGCCACGGGTAAATCATTAATGTAAATTAAAAACAATAAGGGTCCTAATACTGAACCTTGCGGTACCCCATATTTTACAACACTCACATCAGAGAGCGTACCGTTGGCTAATGTTTGTTGAGATTGGTTTACAAGATAATCAGCCAATAATTTCGAACTCAAATTATTTACTCCACAATATGAAATTTTCTGTAAAAGTATAATCAACACAATCAAAGGCCTTGGTAAGGTCACAGAAGATCGAACCAACATAGTTACCGCTCTTAAAACCCTCAATTATATCTTCCATCAAACGAATGCAAGCCATTGTTTTAGATTTTCCTTTACGAAACCCAAACTGATTCTCTATGAACAAGTTATTAGATTCAAAGTAATGTGTTAACTGGTGTTTCAATAAATATTCAAAATTTTTTGAAAGTGTGGGTATTAAAGCTATAGGTCTATAATTATTCACACTTTCAGGATCACCTTTTTTAATACTGGTACGATTTTGGAAATTTTAAACAACTGGGATACGTACCGTCTCTTATACATCTATTGAATAATTTAGTTAGAGGATATATTAATAAATTTATTATTTTGGAAATTTTTTAAACAACTGGGATACGTACCGTCTCTTATACATCTATTGAATAATTTAGTTAGAGGATATATTAATAAATTTATTACTTTTTTAACTAGTGGAATGGTCATGTTATAAATATCTTTACTATGCTTATTTTTTAACGAATTTACGACGTTTCGAGTTTCTATGAAAGTTACCTCTCTAAAGGAAAAATTTAGATTTAAAGGTTTATTAGAAAATTTTGTTATATAGTCAAGCGCTGTGCGATTTTCTACGCTCAGAGACTTTACAATATTTTCGGTTATATTCACAAAAAAATCGTTAAAATCATTTGCGCTAACATTCGTACTCACAGTATATTTTATAGGACCTCTGTATGAATTTATTATATCCCATGTAGCCTTCACCATATTGTCAGCGTCTTTAATATATTTCTAGTTTGCTCGTTTTTTGCAAAAAGTAATTTTTGCTTTGTATTTTTTCCTAAAAGACCTTAATTCAGTATTGATTTCCGGGAAATTATAATTGTTTTTTAATTCTGTTAGAAATTTTAAATGGTCACGCATACGTTTCAGCTCATCATTATACCAAGAAATTCTACCACGTTGATTTGCCCTCTTTTTGACTCATTTATCTATGCAGCGCCGTAGAAGAGTTCTTGGTTTATATTTGTTATGGGTAAAGTAAATTTAAACACACACACACACACATAAGTCATAAACATTTGGAAGAATTCCTACTTTATATTCGTATTTAAAGAAGAACGAGAGATGTAAGATGTTTCTCGAGCAAACAAAAATTAGTTATCGCTTTCTTAATGTTACAACATATCCTGCCTTATGTGTGAGATTGATTTACATAATGCGTTCCACATGATTCGGCGTGAAATTCGAGGGAAAATCGCAGCTTTTTGTGACAACCAACAGTTTTTTACGGAAGCATTGTTTTTACCATAAGATTTCCTGCATTGCAATTAAATGTTCCGCCTACATTTCGCGTATTTCGCCATCTAATCTTTCCAATTAAGGCCTGCAACGTTTGCATTGTGTGTGTTAAATGGTCTCACCTTTTACACATAGGTGATAACTAAACTGTGTATAATTAAATAGAAAAATATGAGAAATTCAAATCCGAACGTATAGTTCTAATATTCATAAAAGTGGTTGTAGGTACTCTGCTATCAGACGACACAAAAACTAATTATAAAGAAGAAAGTAGAAACTTGTGTCTTATGTAAACTTGTGACTTACATATGAATTCTATATTTTCCTTATTAATTACCTAAAGCCTAAGCCTAGCAGTACTTAAGCACTGTAAATTGAAAAAATGTAATAAATTTTTAAAGTGATATTACGTGCGGTTTATTAGTTATTTGTATCATTATGAAGTTTTTATTTGTTAAATATTTTTAATACAAAGGTTTATTGAAAGGACATAGAAGAATTGAGACGCAATAGCAGCTACTCCTAAAACTGGCAAAAAAAGACGGTAAAAAAGAAATCTGTAGGTTAAAAAAAATATTAACGGAGGTATACCGGGTGCGTCTCAAAAGTGGCTCACCTCCTATAACTTTTTTATTTTTTCAGTTAAAAAAACGAGATTTGGTATGTTAGTAAAATATGACATAAATTGGGATTGATTGACGTATTCAATTGTTATCGGTCACTTCCTGTTTCACCGGAAATAACTACAACTTTTGATTTTTAAATTCCACCCTCGATATTTTTTTACTTGAAGTGACCAAAAACAATTGAATACTTCAATCAATCCTAATTTATGTCATATACTTGCACTGCTTCCACACCAAATCTCGTTTTTTTTTGTCTCAAAAAATAAAAAAATTATAGCGGTGAGCCATTTTTGAGACGCACCCGGTAGAGGTCTTAAAAATGAAAAGGCCAAAACTAAAAGACTCTTTGTTTTGGTTTTGTATTCGCTCATCACTATTAGGTTTTCCGGAACCGGAGCTGTTTTTCGGAACCGGAAATTTCGGTACCACGCCTTTAAGGAACCGAAATTTCCGGGTTTTTTCGGTATATATTAGGAACTAGCTAATTTTTGTTCTATGATCATGCAGTTCGTCAATCAGCAAGCAAGACGTGGTTTAAAAAAAAGTAAAATCGCTAAAAATTATTTTTTTTTAATGAAAATAATATCAAATTTCATTAAGTAATCAGTCATGAGAAAACTCATGAGAAAACCAAACATGATCACAAACTTATATGAGTGCAAGCGAATAAAACAAATATTAACAGGTAAAAACAGGTAACTTAAAATTTACATCAAACAACATAAACCAACACCTAAATTTAAAAAAGCCTTACACTTGATTATAATTTTGGCGAGGTCAAGCCCTAGACGTAATTTACTAGGTCTGCGTCGAGGGGTGTCTCACTATTGGAATTACATGTACATTTTCTTGACAGTCGCTGGCAGTCATTGGCAGTCTTACGGCAGTCGCCTATAATAATTACATGGCAGTCATAGGCAGTCTTCTTCGCAGGCATTGGCAGTCGCTTGACGGTAGAATGATATTTTGGCAGTACATGTACATTTTCTGCCCAAGTGAGACACCCCTCGGTCTGCGTATTCTTTTTTATTTTTTAATGGCGTTTACAGGCAGTTGGCCTTAGGAAGGTTGTAATTATTTTCATATTGAGTAGAAAATATTTTTAAATGGTGTAGTTTAAAATTCGAGAAAAAAATATTTTTTTGGAAATAGATATATTCTTCTTCTTCTGATGCGTATAAAGTGTGTGCCCTCCTCATCTCTTCTAAATATTCTGTTTTTTCTATTTTTCTGTTTTTAATTTCTTTATAATTAGTGTTAATTTCAGAGAAGTATTTAGTTAACTAATTTAGAAGACTTTGATTTCCACCGCTAGAAAGTATGAAATATTCTCAGCACTTAACTAAAAATAATTTTTTGGAATTTTTCCGATTATGAGTCCGAAAGTACCGGAATTTTGAGTGCCGAATACCGGTTCTTTGATGGCTCAAAAGAACCGGGAATTTCCGGTACTTTCGAGACCGGGATTTCCCGGTTCTCAACCCTAATCACTATTAGGTAGTTTTCAAAACGAGACAAAATGTTTCGTTATATAGCTGTGATACTGTGGTTAAATTACATTAAAACATTGTTTTTTGTATAATAAGAAAAGGCATTTTTTCAAAAGCAAGGTGTTGTTTTCTGAATATTTTTTGGAGTTGATTTTATGGAGAACTACTCTTGTTGCAAGTCCCTAAAAGCAAGGAACAAGTATCAAAATCTAAGACCCCTTGATTTTGAAATGTTCTGAATATGGCTACTGTACTTATTGGTACAACATCTCATATGAACGCAAGCTGATGATTTATTTTCTTACGTGAAATGCCGATGAATTAATAGACGAGAGAAAAAACAGCTTAATTCTTGCGGTTCAAAACTTGTTCGAAACTTGTTCATTCAAAACAAAATAGAGGTAGACCGCAAATGAGATTGACACCCAAGAGTAGAATCAAGAGAAGATGAAACCAAATAAATTCCATTTTTTTTTTCTTTTTTCACAATAAATTTATTTCTTTTCAGTACTTTTTGTTGGTGATGGCAGTCCTGATTGGCGAATGTGCCATTTACGCAGTTACTTGGTTGTGGCCCCAATGTATGGGTTTGGGTGTAGACGGCGATGCTATGGTAAAAAGCCTCCAGAGAAACTACGGTGTCAGTGGACAGGATCAATTTACGGCTGCAATAGATTTAGCTCAAACGACAGTAAGTATAGTTTGAAAGACTTGCAAATTAATTACCTGCAGTTCTGTTGTTGTTTTATTTGATATACATACCATGTAATCAAAAAGCTTTTTGATGAAGTGTTATATTTATACGATGACACAATCATAATTCGTATGGAAAAATACATTAATCCTACTGGTTGTATCTTTACTAAAATCTGTCCAACAAGGCAAGGAAGATGATACAAAAATGACAGAAAATGTGGTATTATACATCTATACTAAAATAGGTGTTCGGGTGCCAGTGAGAAAATTGAAGAACTAGCAATAATTTGTATATTATTCAGGGTGTTCCTTAATGATATGCTACTATTTAAGAGGTGATTCTTGGACATATTCTAAGAAAAAAACTTCATATGAATATATGAAGTTTTTAAGTCCTAAACATCTAAAATTTTCATATACCGATTGGTAATTTTTTTTTTCAAAACATCCTTTATGTTATACAGGGTGTCCCAGAAATAAGTGAAAATATTTTAAGGGGTGGTATAACTGGTAGATCTCATAGAAATGTGATAGATCTCGGTAAAAAGAAACATATTATTTTCCCTTTACCGTTTTTCAAATAAGTCCAAAATAACGGAATTATTTTACTTTGAAAATTTCCAAAAAAATATGATATTTTGTTAAAATTTTGAGAACCACCGGATTTTTTCTGGATTTTCTTTCTTGTAAATTTAATGTAATAACTATCTTGCCATATTATCAAGATATATACCGGGTGCGTCTCAAAAGTGGCTCACTGGTTTGTTAGTATATTATATGACATAAAGTAGCATTGATTGACGTATTCAATTGTTTTTGGTCAGTTCATGTTTCACCGGAAATGACTACAACTTTTGATTTTTAAATGGCACCCTCGGTATTTTTTTACTTTATTCGATAGAAAATTACAGGTCGGTCAAGTTTGCCCCCCGTATTAGAGGAAATTCAAAAATAAATATACCACTATTTTGCACACATTTTGCACAATTTTGCACAATTTTGCACACCATAAATGATATTTTGCACACTTACCTAAGGGCCGTTTTTTAAACGGGGGGCAAACTTGACCGTTCCCCCCCATTTGTTACGAAATTGATTTATTTCTATGTACATGGATTCGGCTAATTTTGCACAATTTTGCACACCTGTTTTTGAATTTTGCACACCTTTCTGACGAAAGTTATAAGCGGTTGAAAATTTGAAATTTCCCCCCCATCTGTGATTAAATTGAATTTTGTTTATATCAAACGAATCGGCTAATTTTGCACAATTTTTCACACCGGTTTTTGAATTTTGCACACCATCCTGATTAAAGTTATGAAAGTTTGAAAATTTGCAATTTCCCCCCCATCTGTCACGAAATTGAATTTTGTGTATATCAAACGAATCGGCTAATTTTGCACAATTTTGCACACCTGTTTTTGAATTTTGCACACCATCCTGATTAAAGTTATGAAGGTTTGAAAATTTGCAATTTCCCTCCTATCTGTCAGGAAATTGAATTTTGTGTATATGAAACGAATCGGCTAATTTTGCACAATTTTGCACAACTATTTTAGAATTTTGCACACTCTCCTGACAAAAGTTATAAGAGTTTGAATATTTGAAATTTGTCCCATTGTGTGTGAAATGTCCCATTTAAAAATACATAAGTATGAGTCATATTTCGAAAATGATGAGATCTCAGCGACGTGGAAAACTGCACGGAACTTGATTTCACCTTTTCAATAATTTATAGCTTGCATAGAAGAACATTTATGAAACTAAAGATTCTACACACAGATTTGTCTTAGCCCTCTTACTTCCTGTGAAATACCTGGCAAATTTGAAAATTTTGCATTTTTCGACAACCCTCATATCTCGGTTATCCTATACTTATCGAAAAGGTGAAGTCTGGATTCCGTACAGTTTTCCACGTCGAGATCTCATCATTTTCAAATATGACTCATACTTATGTTTTTTAAATGGGACAATTCACACACAATGGGACAAATTTCAAATATTCAAACCCTTATAGCTTTTGTCAGGAGAGTGTGCAAAATTCGAAAGTAGCTGTGCAAAATTAGCCGATTCGTTTGAGATAACAAAAGTCAATTTCGTACCAGATGGGGGAGAAATTGCAAATTTTCAAACCCTCATAACTTTCGTGAGGAAGGTGTGAAAAATTCTAAAGTAGGTGTGCAAAATTAGCCGATTCGTTTGATATAAACAAAATTCAATTTCGTAGCAGATGGGGGGGAAATCGCAAATTTTCAAACCCTCATAACTTTCGTCAGGAAGGTGTGCAAAATTCTAAAATCCGTGTGCAAAATTGTGTAAAATTAGCCGATTCGTTTGATATAAACGAAATTCAATTTCGTAGCAGATGGGGGGGAAATTTCCAATTTTTCTAACCCGCGTAACTTTAGTCAGAAGAATGTGCAAAATTCAAAAACAGGTGTGCAAAATTGTGCAAAATTAGTCGACTCGTTTGATATAAACACAATTCAATTTTGTGGCAGATGGTGGGGGGGGGATTTCAAATATTCAAACCCTTATAACTTTTGTCAGGAAGGTGTGCAAAATTCTAAAATAGGTGTGCAAAATTGTGCAAAATTAGCCCATTCGTTTGATATAACCAAAATTCAATTTAGTTACAGATGGGGGATTTTCAAATTTTCAACCCCTTATAACTTTCGTCAGGAGGGTGTGCAAAATTTAAAAATATGTGTGCAAAATTGTGCAAAATTAGCCGAATCGATGTACATAGAAATAAATCAATTTCGTAACAAATGGGGGGGAAGTTTGCCCCCTGTTTAAAAAACGGCTCTAGTTTCTCTTAGGTAAGTGTGCAAAATATCATTTATGGTGTGCAAAAGGTGTGCAAAATAGTGGTATATCTCTTTTTGAATTTCCGCTAGTACGGGGGGCAAACTTGATGGACCTGAAAATTATATTCCGAACAGAATTACTTATCATATGTCAACTTTTGAAATTCTCGCTTAATAAAAAATCCTATTTTAAAATTCAATCTAGAGTGCCATGGCTATGTTAAAAACACTAATTCTTAATTAAGGAGCCTCGGAAAAATATATTTGATCGTCTAATGTTTTTAGTGTCTTGTCCTGGTCAGTTAGAAATCAATCTGGTCACTTAGCTCAAATCGTATTTTTAATCATATCTCAATTTCTTTAAATGGAACGAAGGTGGCTCATTAGCATATTTGCAAAAAGCATTTTTTTTCGAATATTTTGATACTCTTGGTATTTCGAGTCAAATTTTCATTACGAACCGCAACCATCTGCGAAAATGTCAAAAGTTGACATATTATATGTCATTCTGTTCAGAGTGTTATTTTCTATCGAATAAAGTAAAAAAATAGAAAAATACCGAGGGTTAAAATACTAGAGGATATACTATAATAGCTTGCTATACATCATGGTACCGTATGAACGAAAAAAAAACGACGTCAGCTGTGGCTATGAAATGAAGATCGCTGTCATTTTATAAGTAAATTTATATGGGAAATGTCATCGATCGCCATTTCCCAGCCACTGGACGCCGTTTTTTTTCGATCATACGGTATATCCTCTTGATCACTAAAAATTCAAATTCTTGATCTAACCACAAGGAACTTAGAAGGGTCAGTCATTCTGTGGTCAGTCTCGATTTGGTGAGGACACTGCCGAGCTCTTTGATTTTAACGGGAAAATATCGGGAAAATTATCTTAAACGTCACTGGAAATGTCAAAGCATCTCAGTTTCTACATGTATTTTTTTTCAGTTTAGATGCTGCGGAGTGAATTCTGCCAACGAATACGACACATCACTTTGGCGCCTCCAGGCTTTAGGAAAACCATTAGCAATTCCACTCACTTGTTGCATCCTGCAAAATGTTAATGAAACGGGGGCATACTTGAACCCCGCGGCTGTTAATTTGAGTTTGTGCCAAGCTCTGGAAAAGAACCGCCACGATGGCTACAGACACATCGAGGTAATTTATTTTTCGTTTTCTCATTGAATTGTTTACTTATTTTATTGATTTTTAAATAAGTTTTCAAATAACATGAATCAAAAGTTTCTGGTAAAAAATCGATATCAACTAGTGAAAATAATGATAGACGTTGTGTGTATTAGTGGTTGGTTAAATAAAAATGTACTTCAAAAATCAAACAACGACATACCGGGTGTTGCATCGTCGAGCGGGACTTAGGAAATCCCATGTAAATTTTAATGGGGTCAATTATTGGCTTCCCTAATTATTTTAGAGAATAATTCTATTTAGGTTTATTGAAGAGCACTAAAACCCACATTCAAAAGAATAAATTTTGATATTTTTGATTAGTCCGTTTACGAGTTATCGCCGATTTCTTTTTAAATATTTCTCCTTTCATATGGCCCTGTATTTACTTATGAGCACCAGTAAAAGATAACTGTCAAATGAAGTTGTCATTTCAGAAATTTATCTATTTAGTGCTTTATTATTATTATTAAAAACTTATACCTACATCGAAAATATTAGCCATGAACCTAACCTAACATACCGAAGAAAAAGTATTGATTATTAAATGTTATTATCAAGGAAATAGTTATCAAAAAGTGTCGGACATGTTTGCTGCTCTGTATCCGAATAGACCGATACCTGGAAAATCTACAATCGCAAGGAATAACGAGAGATTTGAGACCAAAGGTACCCTAATAAATAACTGCAAATGTGAAGCAAGGCAGGAACAAAGAGAAGATACAAGAAATGATACCGACTTGGAAGTTTTATTGTGCGTCGAAGAGATCGAAAGATCAGCAAGACAACACTACACCGTTTCGAATTTTCACACGACATAAATACTATTCCTTCAAATATGAAAAGCACCAAGAGCTACGAGATGGGGACGAAATACGGCGGCAGGCGTTTTGTTTTGATATGATAGAAAGAGCAAACACGGATAGGGAATTTTTAAAAAACATATGTTTTACTGGCGAATGCACGTTTACCTTGAATAATGAACCCAATGTTCAAAATTACCGATATTGGAACAAAGAAAACCAAACACAAGTTTGTCGAAACAAGGACGCAATATCCACAGAAAGTAAATGTTTGGGCAGGGATATTCGGACACAATATTATCGGGCCATTATTTCTTAGGCGAAATTTAAAGGCAGAATATTATTTGGAACTGCTCGAAAATCATATTTTTCCTGCTTTACATGATGCCGCTAGGGAAAATCAGGAAGTTTGGTACCAAATGGATGGCTGCCCGGCACATAGTACTCTGGCTGTTCGGGAATATTTAGACAATAGTTTTAACGGAAACGTTATTGGCCTAAATCGTACAGTAAATTGGCCAGCAAGGTCTCCTGATATTTCGCCAAATGATTTCTTTGTCTGGGGCCATTTAAAAAACAGGATATACAATGATAAAAAATACCCAAATCTAGACGAGTTAAAAAATGCTATTTCTGCCGAATGCTATAGAATTTCAATTTACCAACTAGCAAATGTAAGAAGAGAATTTTATAATTGCGTGGGTTATTGTCTAGCAGTCGATGGAGGAATATTTGAACATTTTCTTAAATCCTAAAGCTCTAACAATTTAATAGTACCTAAATTAATAAGTTATTGAATATTGTAATAATACTTTATTTAACCTTGTAATTGATTATTTTATTTTACTTGAATTCATATTAATTTGTATTTATAAATACATCTTTAAGATTTCCGATGTAGGAATGAGTTTTCAATAATAATAAAGCACTAAATAGGTAAATTTCTGAAATTACAACTTCATTTGACAGTTATCTTTTACCTTGACTGGTGCTCATAAGTAAATAGGGCCATAAGAAAGGAGAAATATTTAAAAATAAATCGGCGATAACTCGTAAACGGGCCAATCAAAAATATCTAAAGTTATTCTTTTGAATGTGGGTTTTAGCGCTTTTCAATAAACCTAAATAGAATTATTCTATAAAATAATTAAGGAAGCCAATAATTGACCCCATTAAAATTTACATGGGATTTCCTATGTCCCGTCCGATGATGCAACACCCGGTATAATAATAGCTGTCGCAGTCCCAAGTCCCAATACATATTATAGAAAATATTACAAAGAATAATATTTCCTTAATTATCAATACAGTTTTGACAAGTCAGAGCCTGAAAACAAAAGCTCTTTGAGAATAAATTTGGAGTGTTAATAAAAGTGATAATTGGCATTGTGCAGAAATAGGACCCACTGCTCATTAGAATACTTAAAAAGTTCAAGTTTATTATGTATATTTACAATGAATACATCTTGTGAAAACACAATTAAATTTAATGTAAAGCGGCAAAATTCAATTATGATTAAAAAGTTTAAGCTGTGTTTGGATGTTCATAGGTCATTAATTATTCGTATAATGCCGGGACCGCATAATATGCGGGAGTTGGCGAACTGCGAATAGTAGCATTTGATCTGCAAGACCAAGATCAACACCGACCAGTGTAGTGTAAGACTTCCGCAAGATCAAAACCAAGCATGCAAGACTCTTACGGTCTAATGCCGGGTCCAGACCAAGCAGACAGAACAACGACAACACAGAAACATTCATGTTTTACCACAAAATTGCGACAAATCCAATATATTTCTGCGACATTTTTGTCTTATGTTTATTTTGTTTCAAAATTCAATACCCATTTCGAGTCGGTAAAGATCAAAGTGTCTATGTTTTGTTCGTATATTTTACAAGTTGTCGGCGCAGTGTGGATGGCATTTGCTGCCAACAGTAGTAGGAGACCAGTGAATTCACACATGGTTAATAAAACACATTCGCAACAATTAAACTTTTGACTTTGTTGTATGTTTGTCCTTGCGGTGTGGACAATTTGTCTCAAGTTTGTCTTGTCAGAATTCCCTATTTTTTTGTCGCCTTTGTCTGGACCCGGCATAGAATGCAAGACTCTTGCGTTTTATAAGAAATTACTTATTTGTTCAAAATTTTTGTTTCTTTGCCTTTATCGACAATAGGGGAGACCGAGGGGAGTTGAAACAATTTTGATGTTTTGCTTCATAGACACAATACTATAAACATCGATCTGTTGAAATTAGTATCCATTTATAATAAATTTCTTTTACTTGCAAATGAGTAAGACAAAGAGAGTTAATGTGATAACAAAAAGTCGACTTAAACGTCACAAGTCATTTTGTTTCAACACTCCTCATACCGAGGTATGTTGAAACAGAAGTTGAGGTGAGTTGAAACAGACAATTTTTGGATAGAAATAAGGATTGTGACGTATAAACAACCATATAATTTAAAGGTATTTATTGAAATATATTATTCTGATAAGCAATTGTGACAAATATATGAATGTTCGCCACCAGTGCATAAGCCCAAATCTTGCATTACAGACATTGGATCCATTTTTCTTTGGCTTTACTATTTGAATAGGGTTCAAAAACAACCAATACGATATCATTCCTCTTCTTCTTTATCTTCACTGTCTTTTTTTCCCTTTTTTCTTCTTATTAATCTTGGTCTTTTTAGGTTCTAGTTTGAATATCTTAAGTTTTTTTTTGAGCTTCAAAACTAAGGTTTTTAACTTTTTTCTTTGCCAATCTAGCTGACTCAATTGCAGCCAATTCATTTTTTACAGGACTATCAGTTAAGACTGTTGTTTGAAAATCTGGAATCACGGATGCTATTTATCAAACGAGTTTGCGATATCGTATGGTGTTTACGCGATATTGTTCGGCCTAGAACCGAATCGCGATCATGGACGTCGTTTACAAATATGCTACCGGGACCTGTAAGGCCTATTGTGTTTGTCTCCTTTCTATGTCTGCACCCACTCTCCTATACCCTGCACCAACTTGTACAACTTCTTGATAGGATGGGAGCGTAGTTCCTCCAGTTTTAGCCTTCATTATTGAAAGTCTGCAGCAAAGACTAGGTAATACAGGTTGAGCTTGTTACGGGTATCACTTGACAGCCATATGTCCTATCAAGAGACCTGTTATGCTCCGCACTTAATTCCTGCTAAGCAATAGCAGTTCCATTTTGGTTTTGGAATTAGGTCCTTGGATGAAGGCCTTGCTACGCCTGTGTCACAAATTACCTATAACAGATGCGAAAGAAAGCGACTGCATCGGAAACCGTTCGGCAAACCCGACACGCCTATTGAGTGGTGTAAATACACCAGTCGTTTAGTCCGGAAACCCATGCTGTGTCGTATTCGCTTGCTGGAGTGACATAGTGCGTGGTTATATGTTTCTTTTTAAAAACGCGTGTAGGATTTTTGTTGAAGTTTTGAACTGTTATTTCTAAGTTTTGGTAATTTGTATATCTTATTTAAAATGGGATACAAATGTGTTTATTTATAAGGAAAAAAATATATTTATAGTATAAAAAAATAATTTATTTTACAAAATTTAATTAACAATGTGACAAAATAGTTTGGTTGATTCTATCGGACTTTTTTCGACTATATAAATCTTTATTTGTAAACTTTAATACATCAAATATTTTCAATCTAATAAATCATTTAATGATATAAATAAGAGGAAATTTCTCACATGGGTGGCAGGGGCGTAGATAGGTGTATGCTATGGGGGTGGTACTATGATCAAGTTGCAAAAAAATCACCCTCGGAATTTTTTTGTCGAACTAAAACGACGGCGATTTTTCTGTCTTCAAAAAGATATAAAAACATAACACAAAAATTAAAACATAGATTTGTAAATAACAGAAATAAAAATGAAACAACGACGTTTATTAGTTAATTTTCTATAAACTATAAATAAAAAACTCTAAACTATCAAAAAAAAAAACTATAAAAACTATAAACTATAAATAAAACTACAAAACAAAATCATGTTTTCTAGAACGCTGTTTGGAAAACCTATCAATAACAGCATCAACATTTATTTCAATATCTTTATGGATATTAATTATAGTTAACCCCACTAATCTGTCCTGGCCAATAAGAACACTTTGTGTGCTTTTAATTAGGTCAAACATATTATGAACGATAAATCAACATAATTAAAAGCATACAAAGTGTTCTTATATGTCGGATATTAATTAAAAAAAATCCTTTCATAGTCGATGACTATTTCAATTCTCGTATCTCGTCAAGCGTCAGGGGGGGGTACTGTCCCCCAGTACCCCCCCCCCTTATCTACGCCCTTGATGGGTTGTCAAATTCTATAGTTTTCATTATATCAAACAGCCTCTGAAAAATGTTTTCAACTCAAAATGCCTTTAATTATGTTTGACTACATCATTAAAAAGGGTCTTCAAATACATCAATGTGATATTTGTCTAAAATTTACAAAAGAATCCGAATCTTTCGAAATACTTTCCGAAGAAGATCCGAATCCGATAACTCGAAATTATTTACCCATTTAAAAGCCTTTGATCATGAAAGTGGAAAAATTTGTTCATTTTATTTACAGGCCGGAAAAATTATTTATATTAAATTTTGATGAGTTTTGCACTGAACAAAACATTCAGAGGCTGTTTGATATAATGAAAACTATAGAATTTGACCACCCATGTGAGAAATTTCGTCTTATTTACATCATTAAATTATTTATTAGATTGAAAATATTTTATGCATTAAAGTTTACAAAAAATAAAGATTTATATAGTCGAAAAAAGTCCGATAGAACCAATAGAAAAATAACTATTTTGTCACATCTTTAATTAAATTTTGTTAAATAAATTAATCATTCTTCGATCTTTATAGCATTTCATGCTATAAATATATTTTTTTTTCCTAATCTCCTACGAACTGATATAATATGACGAGCAATCTATTAAATTACTGAGAGATTATATGCCTCGATAATATATTGGTGCAGATTATTTTCACCCAAACAAATAATAACCCAAACTATACATTGATGCGGATTGTCTATGAACTCTTTCTGAAGGCCACAGAAACCTGAACGCGGAATTCGGTGTTCTTTCGCATCTGTTATAGGTAATTTGTGCCTGTGTCCCTGTCTGTTTCTCCAGTGGAAATTTTGCTTTCCTGGATCCAGGTTTTTGTTCCACCTTAAATCAAAACGTAGTTACGCTCACGTAAGGCATTCTGGTTTAATACAGGGTACCCAGGATATCATAGACCCAGATAGCCTATTATCTTAATCCATGACTTCCAATAAGTTATAGATTGAGTTTTACATTGAATACATGTTCCGGTTTATTAATACTTATTTTGTTTCGACAGGGTTGCCAATCCAGATTGGAGCAATGGTACCGAGAGCACTACATGGCCTTCTTAGGCATCGGCCTAGCAGTAGTCCTCGTCGAATTCATAGTCCTACTCAGTACAATACTAACCTGCACCAGAGTTTACCACCATAACCAAGAACTGAAAGAGAACGCTAAGAACATGGCCCAGGATCGCGACAATGCCGGCTCAAGGGACACGATTTATCACAAAAGGGGGCCCTCGATACCCCCTGGGGCGTACAGCAACGAAACTTACGCAATGACCGACAGTTTTCGACAGAACTACAAGCTGTTGGATAAAGCATGATGGTGGCTGAAAGGCATTACCAGGCCCAGTTACGTTTACGAAGTGAACGTAGAATCGATGTTGTGGTAGATTATTACTATTAACAGAAATATAAAAATATTATAAAAAAGACCGAAATTGGCAATATTTTCTAAATATTTTACTGCCTTTCTAGCTTTTTTATAATACCTCTATAATACAAGGTGTGTTTTAAAAAAGTGTAAGTATTTTAACAAAGGTAATATAGCGTATGATCGAAACATCAATGACATTCTTCATATAATTTTACAAATAAAATAACAGCGATCTTTTATTCATAGCCATCGCTGACGCCGTTTTTTTTCGATCATATTGTATTTCTACCTCAGAAATAAGTCTCAGAAAATACGTCTATATAGGGTGTCAATATTTGGATGGAAATTGGTTTCTGGGAGTTTTTTTGAAATGGGAAATTTGATTTTGATATGTCAATATGACTCCTACTTGTAGAGGGCGCCACCTACATATTTTTTAACTGGTTTGAAGAGTAATAACTTTTCGTACGTACCTGTATAAAACTACTGAGTAAAAAATATAAATTTACGACATTTTGAACGTAAAAAAAGTATTTTGGCAAAAATCGCTACGAGCAATGGTTCCATTACGAGTCAAAAGTTCGACAAGAACTGTTTTATGATCATTTTTAAAGAAAAACTTCTCATTAATTTGAAAAAATAAAGTTCCCGGCCTTAAAAATTTATCATTTCAGTCAAATAACTATACAGGGTGGCGCCTCTCATACGCCGCGGAGGCTCCAAGGAGAACAACAGTTTGTATTGAAGTGAAATTTTGTGAGAATTTTGTTTGAAATTTTGTGAGAATATGTAGGTTAATTTAGAGCACTTTTTAAAAATATAGTGAGTTCTACAGGGTGTTCCCAAAAAAGTTACATATGAAAGTTGTCTTTTTTGTTATGGAACACCCTATATATTAATTGATTTTCGGATTCTTTGAGCAAGATAAAGATGACTTTTATAAGAGAAGTGACTAAAATGTAAGGTTTTTGACATATTTAACATTTTCTAGAAATAAAGAACATTTTTTAAATTACAATAAAAGCTACCTAAATTGGAATTTATCTGGTATAGCCTGATATGTAGTTAAATTAACTATTGTACTTTAAATTAAATTAACACTTGATCCAAAATGTTAAACAGGGTGAGACAAAATTAATATTGAACATTGGTCACCTGCTTTAAAAGCATGTTACTCTTTTATTTTAAATGAAACACCCAGTATATTATTCGATAATCAATGGAGAATTCATGTCTTTTCAAAATAATATTAAGGTTGCCTACCCCTCACACAAAGATTTTCCTAGATATTTTCATTTACATGATTTGATCTGATAAACCGCCACCCTGTATACTCAACATGTTTATTTTCTGCCAATAATGACATGTATTGACTAATTCCATTCTAGATATCTTGAGAACGGTTGCTTGTAGCGATTTTTAAGAAGAGACATTTTTTACGTAAAAAATCACGGTATTTATTCAGAAATTTTATACGGGTACGGACGAAAAGTTATTTTTTAAAAACAGTTAAAACACTTGTAGGTGGCACCCCCTACAAATAGGAGTCAGATTAACATCAAAATCCATATTTATTATGTCAAAAAACTCCCAGACACCAATTTTCATCCAAATATTGACACTACTTCAGAAATTACTTGGAAAAAATCTATAAAAATAAAAATGAAATTTTTACACCCTGTATCTCCGAAACTAAGCGTTTAGGACATACATTTATATGCACTTTTTAAATTATTTTTATCTGCAGAATATGCTGCCGAAGTTTCCGGATTATAGTTCGGGCCACCCTGTATAATTCTAGATAAATGCACTGTATTTATTTTTTAACATACACCTAACATATACAGTAGTTAATTTCTACAAAACTGAAAAAATCAATCTTGTTTATTTTCAATTTATTTAAGAATATTTTATTTTATGTCTATATTTTGGAATTATTTTAAAATACTTGCACTAATTTAAGAGACATCCTGTGTAACTAGGCGTATTTTTATATATACTATTCCAAAGATTAAGTTAATTTCTAGATAAATAGAAATAAGAGTGTTTAAAAAAATTGGAAGACTGCAATATTCTTAGTGTACTATTTAAAATTATAACGTATATAAAATAATAAAATTTGGCAAAGTATTTTATTTATTTTTAATATGCATTCTCTTTCAAACAATGCTTAAAAGATTTTGTAATTTTGTACCTACCCCTTATAATAACTTAGTGTAATAGGTTTTTTGTGCCCCACAAAGTCTTTGTACCACGTCTGTCCAATGAGAGGATCCCTGACACTGACAGTTATGTCTATCATTTTATTTCACATGCAAATTTTATTTCCTGTCATTTTTGGGTTGTCGCAGGGTTATCGTCAGTCAAAATCTTCCCCGATTCCATCCCGATTCGTTGGTTGGACAGACTATAGAGATAAAGATAGAGATCTTGATAAACAGAGAAGAAATAGAGAAAAGATACGAATAATAACGGAGTTTTTAATAAACCGTTTTTAGTCACCCTATATAAACTAAGCAATTATCAAAAAATACTTCTAGTTAAGAGGCATCAATAATTTGGGGTTTTTCAATTTTTATAGAACTTTATAAATGTGTAGATAACTTATTTAAACACTAATTAAAATTAAACTAAAAATAATCATATGCTAAAAACTTAGATCAGACTCTGTGATGGTTTTCTAGAAATACAAGTTTTATAGAAAATCTCCTCAAAAAAATATACATACTACAATAACTTTATTGTAAACGCATATTTGAGTCATCCAGTATATCTATTAAAAGTTTTCTAAAATAGTCTATACTCTCTCTATTACCTCAAGAGTCAAAATCTCAAATAGTAAACCAGATATAGAACTCATATATTTGGTCACCTTGTATATTGAAAATGATCATGCAGATTATATTAGTACATCTAAAAATTTAAAACCAAATGAAATTTAACTTTATATATTTTTATTATATTTTTTCTAAAGAGTATGTCACTGTAAGAAAATATCGCCAAATAAAAAGAAAATCAACATTGTAAAATAACAATTTTCTTGCATTATTTTGAAATTAATAAATTTGCCTCCATCTTTTGTTAAGTCCGAAGACTTCTAATTAATATTTTACCGTTCTCCCGACAGATGCCACATTAATGGAGTATTGACTGATGTATAACTGGTTATCTAATAACCGGCGCAAAACTCTATAATTGCTCTTTTTCTGGCGCACGCGGTAGTCTATATGCCCTCTCACCTTTTCTCATCTCACATTCACTTAATAAATTTCAGTATATCGTTATTTAGCCTGTGACAGGTGGCTGCACTGGAACGCATCGAAAATGGCCGCGGTCGATAGCCAGACGAAGTTAGCGTCTGTGTTTTTGAGATGAATAGATCTAGTTTGAGAGACTGAAAGTGTATTTCGCACCCACAATCTATTGTTTCGAAAGGAACGCGCGTATGCTCTCGAAGAACAGTGTCTGCGAACGGTAGTTAAGGTAATTCAAGTCGGTTAATATACAGGACGAGCAGTGCAGAAGAGTCGTTCAACTCGAGTTTGTTGTTTTTCTTTTTTAAACGGTTTATAAACAAAATTTCGAGTGACGATTTCGGGGAATGAGAGGACCAAAAGGTCGTGTGTTTTAAGAAATAAGAGTTTAGTGCCCTGGCAATTGATTTTTGTGTGGAAAATTTTGTTTTAATCGTTTAGTGTTTACTGGTTTTGAGAGGACTGTATGAACTAAAGGACATTCATATTTCATCATTGAATACAGCTGACTAAGTTTGATAGACAAGATACTGAATTTACTGTATCATAGTGTACGTTATTTTACCTTTTTCTGACCGTTGTCAGGGCTATGGTCAGTGTATAACTGAAGTCAACAATAACAACAATACTATTGAGATTTACATTTGGCTTGTCTCGAGGATATGCTCTCCAAAGACAGTGATTTGCACTAAACTGTGTCCAAGCAATGTAAGAGAGAAATTGGTAGGTCAACACACTGGATCGAGCTAGCTCTGGACCAGGGGGTTGCCTCGACGGCGGTGGGGCACATCCCTCCGTCGTCCCTCAGCCCCCAGGACTGCCCCAGCTGCATGCTGAAGTCACTCCTAAGCAGGCTGTGGTAGAGAGGTAAATTTGATTTTCGCTTTTATAAAATAAAAACTAAGGAAAGAGTACGCATATCAACAAACTTGATCTGACCAATAAGTAGATTCAATTCAACTGACATGAAATTTGGTTAATCAGTGATGTTTGATTGTTTTTTACATGTTAAGATATAAAATAAAGTATACCAATTTGAATTTGCTGGTTTTGTTTTACCATGTTCTTGAGTCTTGAGATACCTATTAATTATTGTCAAGATAGGTACCTACTAATTTCATTCCTTGTAAAGTTAAATAAAACTTGTAATACTGACATATCCCATTTATTATTACAAGTTATAAAAATTAAATGGGGAACAGGGAACAAAAATAGTTCTAGTCCAATTTATACCGTATAATCGAAAAATAAAACGGCGTCAGCGATGGCTATGAAATGAAGATCGCTGTCATTTTATATGTAAAATTATATGGGGACTGTCATCGATCGTCATTTCCAAGCCAACTACTGGACGCTGATGAGTTGTTTGTTGTTTTGTTTTTCACAACCATTTTTCTGAGATTCACAATAATTTCAATGCCCACCTAATTTCAGTCCTGAGGTCCTGACAAAATGTCTTTTTTTATTTATTACCCCTTTAGAGAAAAATTTAGAAAAAAGCTAATTGTAAAATAAACATTAAATCGAGCACTAAATAATACAAAATAAATTAACACAGAAAAGCATAACAAAGTGACAAAAATTCAAATACCTATATCAAGAGAAAAATCAAACAAAACTAATAAAAAAGTGGTTTCAAGGTGTTTGTTTGATGCATTAATATAAGTCTGTATGTCACTCTTTCCTTGGTCTTTTGTACTTAATGCAAAGAATATTAATATTCTTTGCTTAATGTTTTTTTTCTTTATTATTTTACTATCTTCCTCATTACACCTTTCCAATCACAGATGACCTTGTCAAGTAGATTGTTCTGTTGCTCATTACTTTCATTTAACGAATAAAACAAGAGTTTTTATAATTATTGCTGTTGAACGAAGTGATCAGGGTTAGAATTATTCAAGAATTTTTCAAAAAGAAAATCAAAAATCAGTTATTTTTATAAGAAATGACCATTTTTCATATTTTACCTCGTATTTTACTTAATTTTTGAATACTTAGTTGTTAAGAGTATCGAATATACCGGGTGCGTATCAAAAGTGGCTCACCCCTATAACTTTTTTATTTTTTCAGATAAAAAAACGAGATTTGGTATGTTAGTATATGACATGAATTAGGATTGATTGATGTACCTATTAAATTCTTTTTCTCCACTTCCTGTTTCACCGGAAATGACTACAACTTTTGATTTTTAAATCGCACCCTCCGTATTTTTTTAGTTTATTCGATAGAAAATGACACTCTGAATAAATTGACATATCATATGTCAACTTTTGACATTTTTGCTTAAAACAAAATTGTATTTTAAATTTCAATCTAGAATCTGCCAAGGCTGTGTTAAAAACACTAATTTTTGAATCAAGGAGCCTTGGAAAAATAAATTTGATCGTTTAATGTTTTTAGTGTCTTGTCCTGGCTGGTTAAAAGATGAACAAATCGTATTTTTAATCATACATATCTCAATTTTTTCAAATGGAACGAGGGTGGCTCACCAGCATATTTGGAAAAAGCATTTTTTTGCGAATAATTTGATACCACACACTTGGTGTTTTGAGTAAAATTGTTATGAATTGCACGTCGCAATTTCAAATAAACAACATTCGAAAATGTCAAAATGCCAAAAAATCATATTCAGAGTGTACTTTTCTATTGAATAAAGTAACAAAATACCGAGGGTATCATTTAAAAATCAAAAGTTGTAGTCATTTCCGGTGAAACAGGAAGTGACTGAAAACAATAATTGAATACGTCAATCCATCTTAATTTATGTCATATTACTAACATACCAAATCTGGATTTTTTATCTGAGAAGATAAAAAAGTTATAGGGGTGAGCTACTTTTGAGACGCACCCGGTATATGTATCACCGAGTGTATCACTGAAAAATCTACAAAACCGTATGATCAAATAAAACTGGCGTCATCGATGGCTATGAAATGAAGATCGCTGTCATTTTATATGTAAATTTATATGGTGTCATTTCCCAGCCAACCGTACGCCATTTTTTCGATCATACGGTATAAATTCAGATGACAGGGTATAACGAAAATACCACCACTATTTATTAGAATTTTTACCCTCGTTTTTACCTAGTCTCAAGTCCGTAATAGACCGATTATTATAGGTTCGTTCCAACATCACAGAGAACTGTTCTCGGTACGGTAACACGTCTGCGCAGTAAAGAAAATGCGTTCCAACCAGAGTTGTAACAACTAACAACCGTTAGTGAACCAGTTCCCGAACGGTGATGTCGATACCAGCGTGAAAGGAAGAATCAAAAGAACTGACCTGCGTATTAAGTACTGTGTGTCAGCTGATTATTGTTTATTTTTAATTTTTGCTTATTTTTGTTTGGCGTTGAAAAAAAAGCACGAAATATATATTTAAAAAAAGTAAAATACAAATAACTGAATGAATATTCTATTCCGGAATACTTTCAGGCGCCGAGCTGGTCCCATCTTCATAGGGTATTATAGTAGTAGTAGTACTGTCTTCGTCAGTTTCTATTTCCAAATCAGATATATTTGATGTATCATCTGGTTCTGATTTTGAAGGATGGACGTCTACCTCTACGGGTTCTAGTGGTTCTGGAGGAGTTTCATGTTGTTGAATATCATGCTCCATATCCACTTTTTGTTTTTGTAGTAATAAGTTATTGTTAGGAGCTACGCACATTATTTTGCCGGCTCTTTGTGCAGTTAAGCGATTCCTTTCCGATCCGATTTCTTGCAAAATTCGGATTTTTGCGAATATTCGCGATTTTGGGACCGAATATTTCGGAAATTTCTGAAATTTCCTGCAAAATTCGAATGGAAATATTCGCTACCAACATTACTAAACGAGGCAAAGGTAATTTATGAATTTACGTCCAATAAAATCCAAAATTCGAAATTTATATCGAAAATATTGCCAACCATATTAATAATTAAAAATTAGGTTATGACTTTAATTCTGAAATTAGTTCGCTAACCGTTTCAATACGTTTGTAATCGTGACAGAACTGCCAAAGTCGACACGTGCGTACAAATTCGATCCCTGCGATCCCAATTACTGTTCTAGAACGGTACAAATTTGTATGTTGGAACGAAGCTTATATCAAATAATCTACAGGGTGGCAACTCTCATACCCGAGCACTTCAAGAGGAACGACAAATTTTAATAAAATGAAATTTTTGGCGCATATAGTGCCAAAGATAAAGTGCGCATTATATGGGAGTTTTTTTTATTTATTGCTTTAGAGTTTTATCCAGAGTTAAAGTTATTATTGTACGATAAACCCCAAATATGAAACCACACAAAAAGTATACACGCTAAGTTATATAGGGTGAGGCAAATGATATTGAACATTGGTCACTTTTGGTTTGGTGAGAGCAAGTTTGTTTGATTTGATTCATGATTTCAATCGATCGAACCCTGGAATTGATCTATTCTATTTTTCCATACAGGTTAAGGAGACGTATAGAATCATACAGGAAAAGACAGACTGACTGCATGCCGCGTTTCGATCAGTCCTTTTCAGGACTGTGCGAGCAGAATCTGCAGGACACCCTGCACCTAAAGCAGAGGTTTCTGGATGCCAAGGCCAAGAGAGTGTCCAAAGCAAAGGACAAGAAACAGGAAGCCATCCAGAGCAGTGTTCACGTGGTAAGTGTTTAAATACTCAGATTTGTTATTTATGTACCAGAATTGAATATGTATTTTGCAACTAACGGTTGATAAGAATTTATTTATAAATATACGGTTTACATTATTAGGTGATAAGTTGTTTGATAGCAATTTAATACAGAAAGCAACATTTTTTTTTCGGTTTTATCTGTAAATGCTATTAATTATATTTGTGATTGCTAATATTATTAGACAAGCTAATTAATAAATATAGCAGTGTTAATTTTTTTAAATCACGTTTTTGTCAAATCGGTGTTTTTTTCTTTTTAGGGGGTGTCCATTAATTACGTGAGACGTTATTGACACTCCCTCCCCCACTGGTGAGATGTCTCGTGATTTGTCTCGACCCCCTCTCGCCTCCCTAATCTCACGTGAGATCTTTCAAAATTTATATTTTAAGTAGGTATAAATCCGTTGGATTTATTAAAAAAAATTGGCGCCGGGAGGCACGTATAGCTGCCCATACTAAAATATGTTAATAAAAAGTTGGTAGGCAGTTAGTTCTTTTAGTTAAGTAAAGGAATTTTTTCAATTTTTTTTATCTCAAAAACTGCGTCTTTGACAAATTTTGTTGCAAATATTATTCCTAATCTTAAATTGAAAAGCGCGTTTCGCTAGCTACTGTAATTTTAGAGCTACGATTTTTAAAAATTTTTAACCCCCTCCCATATCCCCTTACCAACCCCCCACCCCCAAATTTGGTTAAAATCGGTTTTGCGGTTTTTTGAGTTATCGTGTTATAGACGGACAGACAGACACACACCATGAGAAAATATTTTGTATTTAGGTCATTTATGACCCAAATAACCGAGGAAATAACTCATTTTGAGTGAAATTAAAAAAACTTTTTTCTTCTTGATAGCTTTTAATCTTAATAGCCTACCATACCTGTTGGTATGGTCGGCTAAAAATTGTGTGTGCACTATGTGTATTGAAGTGAAACTTCTTATTAATAGCTATTAAATTAAAGGATTTGAAGGACATCTTTGAAAAAGTGTAGTTTGAAATGTTGAAAACGTAATATATTAAAAATATATTTTTTTACGCGTAACATAATTTTTTACACGTAACAAATAGTTTTTACGTGTAACAAATAGTTTTTGCGTGTAACAAATAGTTTTTGCGTGTAACAAATAGTTTTTGCATATAACAAATAGTTTTTGCGGGTAAGAAATAGTTTTTTACGTATAACAAATAGTTTTTTACGTGTAACAAATAGTTTTTTATGTGTAACAAATATTTTGGTTTGGTTTGGAATAGTTTTTTAACTGTAAGAAACAGTTTTATACGTGTAACAAATAGTTTTTTACGTGTAACAGATATTTTTGTACGCGTAAAATAAAACACGTGTCACTACGGATTTCTAAACCGTAGGCTGTCTCGCTAGCTGGTGTGACACGGCCTTTAATTTTTAAAGAAGTTTCGCTTTAAAAATACAATTTGCTTTATTGTTATTTTTATTAAGACTAGTAAAGACTAATATTTGAATATTCATCATCATTATCAACCAGCCACTAAAATTCGCTGCTGGACTTAGGCCTCCCTCATCTGCTTCTATAACTCCCTATCTTGAGCTATTTGCATCCAGTTACCGTGGATACGCCTTAAGTCGGAGGACGGCCTCTGCTCCTGAATGTCTTGGTCTCCATTCTATTATTTTCTTCGTCCATCGGTCATCGTTTAGCCTTGCAATGTGCCCTGTCCAATTCCATTTCAAAGTAGTTATTTTCTATGGCATCCATGACTTTTGTTCTGTTTCGTACGATAGTCTATACTATGATCTTTCCATTGCTCTTTGCGTTTTGCGTTATTCTGATTTTTTCTTAGATGACAACAGGTAGTATGCATTGATTGAATACCAAGGTATTCAATCCATGGTATTTGAGTATTATTGTAATGTAAAATCACGATGATAACATTCATGAACGTTCATTCTAATTCAGGCCATGGAGACTATTGTCCGGGCTCAAGAGTGACTGTTGGTAGTGTTGGTACTAACAAATCCACGTGATTTTCAGTAAAAGGTTCTGCTCCTTTCCCTTAACTCTGATAGATCACTTTAAACCGTTGTTACTTGCGCACAGATGCTCATTAGATCGTCTTCTGAACTTTAATCTGGCGCCATAATTTTTCAACCAATAAGGAGTCGGGGTCCACATTTTTCTATATATCACTACTAAATAACTTTACACATTAGCGTAACTAGAAATTTATCCTGGTTGAGCCCAGGGGGGGCCTAGGGCTTTTGTTTTTTTTATTTAAAAAAACACGTTTTTTTAATAAAACGTTTACATGCATTTCTCTATCAATAAATTTCATAGACTTGGTTATCAAACCGTGTTTCCGTAGATTACTTAAATACCTACCAATTTTCTAAAAAAATAAAAATTAACACATTTTTTGAACACAACAAAATAATGTTAACTAAACAAAACTAGAAAACGTCATTTTTACTGCATCACAAGCAAATAAAAATTAATACGTAGCCAAGAGTTATAATTCAGGATTTCTCTGGGGGGGGGGTGCCAGCATCACCTGTGGGGGGGCGGTACCCCCGGTCAGTCACCCCTGTAGTTACGCCAATGACATTACATCTATTAATGGATTTTAATATACAGAAGAATTGTGTCAGATTTCGACATATTTTGGTCTAGAAACATGTTTTACTTTAAATTAATATGAGTTTTTCACATTTTTACACCATGATTTGTCCGAAAAAAATTATGTGATATCTGTCGAAACCTCTTTTGTCTTCCACGGGAAATTTAATGAGATTTGGCTTACAAAAATCCTGTAAACTGTGGCTGTACAAGCACTGAAATTAACTATTATAATCAGTAGATACAGCGGTACAATCGGCGCGGCGCCGCGCCGCGCTGGTGGTACAGGACTTATTTGTATTTTTTGTAATAATAAATTATTTATTAAAAACTTATGTTTTATATTTTCTTTTAACAATAAGAAAAATCATATGATTTTAATAGCCACGTTAATCGTGTATTTAAATCAATTGATTTACTAAATTGTTTCAACCCTGAAAAGAAGTCTGTGTAGTAAACTATATTGCTAGGAATTACGTTCCTATAAAATGAAAATGGGAGTTTTTACCTTTGAATTTATTATAAATAAACTAAGATCTTTACATATTTATAAGTTTAAACAATAGCTAAAGCCATCATTAGTTTCAATGTAATTTTCAAACGAAGAAATTTTATTTTTTCTCATCATGTTATACATTTGTATAAACATGCTTGAAGTATTACAATTTAATTAAATAAAAAATATTATTAATTGCCTTATGATACATGCTTTATTTTTTTAAATGGCTGATATAAAAATGGGCTGACATGCAATTTTTAGTCGGTTGATTATTTAGTTGCAGAATTGAAACCAATATATTCTTATGGAGGTGCGCACACATCTTTAAACATTAAAAAGAAAATAAATTTTTACAAGTTATAAGTACAATAGATCGAAAAAAAAACACGGCGTCAGCAATGGCTATGAAATGAAGATCGCTGTCGTTTTATAAGTAAAATTATATGGGGGAATGTCATTGATCGTTATGTCCAAGCCCACTGGACGCCGTTTTTTTTTCGATCATACGGTATTATAATTAAAACTGGGACCAATAACATTTCAATCTATTTTATTGTGATAGGTTATTTATAAATTATGTTCTGATCTAATCCTGATTAGAATACTTTTAATTACATATATCAGTTCAATTTTATAATGACGCAAGTAAGATAATTAATACATATATCATGTAATGTAAGAGCTCTTTTTTTAATTCAATAATTTCTCATAAAAATATTATATCAGAACCATTTTGCTTTCACTGATAAATCGAATGAACTTTCTTCTTTTACTTCTTTACTTCTATAGTTTGATTAGTTTTGATATTGTAAATAAAATTAAATATTTATATGCGACTTGCTTAATTTAGATGAAGTTCTATTAAACATCCATATTGTTTGTTATTATTGTTAGCATTAGTTGTTATTATTATTAAATTCTTTTATAAAATATTAGGTACATTAGCAGCCATTCACTACTTGCATAGATAAAGGAAACAAGTTTGCTTGCCGCCAAAACTTATAATTGTTTTGGAGCGCATACGTTGTAGGGCGCTGCTATAGCGGTTGCTAAGAACAACCGCAAACGAGAATAGAAATAATTTTCTCTTATCAAAGGCAGAATCTTCAAAAAATATAAAATCTTTCAAAATTTAAACAGTTCTCACTGAAAAAACACCGAAAAGTGTTTAAAGCGTCCATTTTCCAAGTAATTATTGCTATCTTGTGAGTTTAATTTAAATTTTATGTACTCAAGCCCGTGATAATTGTGAGTGGCATTAAAAACTCAGAAATCTATGTGAACTGTGAACAGCAAAAACTATCGTGGATCGTGGCATAAAATTGGTTTCCAATGTTTCAGAGATATTTCATAAATGTCCTTATATAAAATAAAGTTTCTTATATACAACACTGTATTTTATTTAAAAAAATAAAAGAAAATAATAAATTTGAATAAATAATATTTGGCGACGTAATTCCGGAAAAAGCCGAACTGCTCTGAAATAGCCAAATCTTTGGAGAGCGACCGTTGTAAGAATAGCGCCAAATAGTATTTACATTGTCCTTATGGGCACTTCAATCTAAACTTGTTTCTTTTATCTATGACTACCTGTAAAAGTCTACTGACTATATTGACAGGCAATGTCCAAAAATTGACAGAATATAATTTACATTTTAAATAAAATGACCGACGACAACTCTCAATATTCACTGTCAATATTCTTTCGTTGGATAGACTACAGTTGGTCTACAGACTCTGGTGTGTTTATGTTATATGCTTTTTGGTAGAGCTTCCGAATCAGCTTATAATAAATTTATATTAAAAATAGGAAACAACGTTCTAAAAAAAGTTGAAGTAATTAGAAATTTGGGGTTGGCGTTTGGTCAAAGCTTTAAGAT